GTACTGATACTACTAACCCAGAATATGCTTTATAACCCGAAATTCACCAACACTTTACCCAAACTCTACATATTTAACTCTATTCAGGCTTATAAATTCAACTATACATACTTAAACTATCTATTAGCACTATAACACTTCATCATCTTCAATATCTCACTTTAACTCTTGAAATTAAGAATTTTACCAAAATTTCAATGTGTTCTAAACTCATTTATAATACTTTAGACTTCTTAATCATTCTTATGACAAGTCAAATTCATAATTAGAACTTCAAAAACATCTTCATACTAACAATTCATTTCTTCACCTTTTTTACAATTTCCTTTCTAATTCCCTCTTCTTGTTGTTTTGATCTTATATAAGCTTTCTTAAGCTTATATAACACCCAAAGAACAAAACCCAACTTAAAAATTTAAGAAATAAACAATTATCACTAACTCACCTTGAAATGGAACCAACGGGAAGAAGAAAAAGACAAGAATAATAAACTTCCAGATAACTCTCCCAACTCACGTGCTTATCTCTTAATAAAGGAGAGAAATATCCATTAAAACGAAAAGACCATACTACCCTTCATTCTTTCCATCTTTACTATTTAATCATATACCCAAATATTTCACTTTAAATCCATAAACTTTTCTATTTTTCCTAAATTACTCACCATATTTCAAAAACTTCCATTTTAGTCACTAGCATGTGTTTTGCGATGTTACAACTTGAATCAAAACAGAAGCAAGGCCTGAAGAGTGAATTCTTAGAGCTCCTCTAAGCCAACATGATAAGTCGACCCAACGCATAAAAGACCGAATTGGGCTCCTGTTTGATTTGGAGGTTGTGAGTTGCTGTTGTGAGGCAGTGGACGCGAGGGGAGGTTGAGGATAGGAGCTTCATCATTGTTTATAAGAGAGGGGAAAAAGAAGCTAACGTCGAGAGCGAGCCATAGTTAGCAGAAGAAGAGATGGTTAAATGAATTTGTTTAATGCTCAAATTTAGTGATGATTTTGAAAAAAAATTAATTAGGCGACAAAGAATTAATTAGGCGATTAAAATCGAATACTGAGAATAGTTGGGTAATTAAAGATATAATTTAAGGTAAATTATGCATTTAGTAAATAAATTATCAATTTTGATCTGTTTTACTAGATAAACTTTTAATTTTTTTTAAAATCATATCTAAAATTTACTTTTCGTTTCATTTTAATACCCCATAGTTAAAAAAATTAACGTGTTTAGTACCTAAACTATCAGTTTTGATATGTTTTAGTACCTAAATTAAAAAAAAATCCAAAACTAAAGTATGATTTAGGTACTAAACGTGTTTTGGTACCTAGACTTTCATTTTTTTTAAAAACTTAACAGTAAGGTACTAAATGAAACAAACACTAAATTTTAGGTATGATTTTGAAAAAAAAATAAAATTTTAGGTATTAAAACATATTAAAATTGATAGTTTAGGTACTAAATATGTACTTTACCCTATAATTTATCCTCGTCTTTTTCACCGAATTAATGATTTGGGACAAATAAGGTAACGATTTAAATTTCAGGAGTAAAATATCCAAAAAAATAGTTTAAGGGATAACTCGATATAAATGTCATACTTTAGGGACAATGGTGCATTTAAACCTTTAATTAATGTCGATTAAAAGAGTTTTCCCCTTAATATGGTAATCCTTTTAAAGATGAATTTATATAATTATTAATTGACTTAATCAGTTTAATATAAATATTATATAATTAAATATTTAAAAAATAGATAAAATATATAATAGTCCATATATAATATGAAGGGTAAACTATACTTTTTAGCCTAGTATTCAAGAATTTGAGCTTGTAAGGTTAAGTTTGAATCATACAACCGTCACTCTTGGTGAGCAATCTGTAAATTCATATGTAAATCTCAATTGAGTCTTAGGTATGTCCTGACCCTGGATTGAGGAGCCACCCCTAACCTAAACTTTTAACCACAAAAAAAAAGCTTTTTAGTATCCTAACTATAACTTTTTATTCCATTTTGATCATTTAATTATTTTTTCCAAAATTATATCCAACGTTACGTTTTGGTTTCATTTTTGTCATCCATAGTTAAAAAATTGATGGAAAACTACATGTTTAATACCTAAATTATTACTATTCTATTTCGGTACCCAAACTTTATATTTTTCAAAATTATACCTGATGTTTAGTTTAAGTTTCATTTTGGTATCTCGTCATTAAAAACTAAACAGAACTGCTGAGATACCATAAGGTAATGTCACACATCATTGAAAATAAAATAAAATGCCGCATCAGTAGTTCTGTTAAGTTCTTAACGGTAGGTACCAAAATGAAATTTAAATTAAACGTTAGTATGATTTTGAAAAAAAAGTAAATATGTGTACCAAAACGGAATACATGTAATTGTTTAGATACTAAATGTGTATGATTTACCTAAAAATTAACAAAACTGCTTACGTGACACTTTTTAAAAAAATCAATGGTGACATGACATTATCTTATCGTGACACATCAGCATCATCGTTAATTTTTTAATGGTGATCAAAATGAAACCAAAACATAATGCCTAAGTATGATTTTGAAATAAAAAATAGTTGAGTGACTAAAAGGAAACAAAAGTTATAGTTCAAATACTAAATGTGTAGTTTACCTTAATATGAATTATATTTATATACTTTTTTTAATTGATTTATATACTTTATTTTAATTAAACTAGGAAAGCGAAAGAAAATAAAAATTACGTGAGTAATGATTAAACAAAGATGAAGGAAGACACTACAACCGACATCTCTAGCACCTAAAATCCACCCCGATCTCGTTTGATATTATTATTGGCATTTTTTTATAAAACAAAATTGAAACTTCATTTTATAATAAATTTAATATTTTTATATAATAATTGATATATAATTTATCAAAAAATTAATTTAAATTAAATATCATAAAAGTAAAATTTTTAAATTTTATTTATTTCATTCAAAATATTAAATATTAAATTTTAATTACTATCTATATAACTTAACATTTCATCTCAAGATAATGATTGATAATGATAACTTTAATATTAAAATAATAAATTCATATTAATAAGTAGAAAATTAAAGTTTTACCTAGTTCTAAATAAATGAAGTAGAAAACTAAACTTTACCTAGTTCTAAATAAATTAATTTTTTACAGTATTTTTAATATATATATTTCTTTGAACTCAAGCTTATTGTTTTTTATTTTTAAGTTGTATTGCAAACTTCCATACTTTGGAAATTTATACCGTTTTATAAAAGCTTTCCCCATATTTTTTTACGAAGATTCTCAATAGTTAAAAAAACCTTTTACAAGAATAAAAATATTAAATTTAAAGATATGAAGAAAAATAAAAAAAATTTTGAGAATGACAATCAATGTCAAAAAATTCAGTAATCTTCATAAAAACTCGTTGTCTCCGTCGAACGAAAAGTTTTACGAAGTGATAAATGAGGGTGAGTGAACCAAACTATCTGACAGACTATTTTGCTACACAATTCTGATTATATCAGTAAACAATCTTTTACCAAAAGGGGATATGATTATATGTAACCACCGACAAATCAATCAGAAAACAAATATTGTGAGTCTTTGTGCTAGCACAAAAATGACTGCAAATGTATGCATAAAACGTATCAAAAGTCATAAGAGTGTCACGAGAATAAAGAAAATGTGTGACAAAATAACATAAAAATACGTGTAACTATGATATATTTTTATTTAAAATAACAAAAAACTTAAGAAAAAGAAAATAAAAATAAAGGATATAATATAAAAACAACAAAATTAATAATTATTGACGACCAACAATTAACATTAATTGATGTCGTCATCGATTAAATAAAAATTAAAAAGAAAGAAAAAGGTTATATAAAAATATTGAGATAAAACCTATTAGTATGGAAAGATATTATTAAAGTTGAAGAATAAAAAAGATGGAAAGACATTATTAAGCTGTTGTACACTATATTATGGTTGGCATTGTACTTACTTTGTACACTATTACGATGTCGTACATTATATTTAATTTCTTTCTGTAGTAATTTAAACTTGTTTAAAAGGCTAAATTTTAAATCTATAAAAAAATCCAAAACATTATACATAATTTTAACCGTATTGTATATTAAATGAGTGAGACATTGGATCTTCCATGATTAATGATTAATCAACACCTAAAACTTCCCAACATAGGGCATCCCATTAAATCCGAAAAAGGAAACAGTGATGGGTACACGGTATATTTAATACCTAAATTATTACTTTTATTTTATTTTGATATTTAAATTTTATATTTTTTTAGAATTACATCTAATATTTAATTAAGGTTTCAATTTGATATCCTTATGTTAAAAAACTGTGATGTTGACATGTTACCGATGTCATAATTGAAAAAGACTTTTTTTTAGTACTTAAACTATACCTCAAGATATGATTTCGTATCTAAAGAATTTTTTGTTAAAAATATATGCTTAATATTTTCTCATTTACATTTTTAAGTACATACCGTTATATGTTTTATTATTTTTTTTTAATAATGAAACATTTTTTTAAAAATGAAAAAATAAAAAAAATCAAACACCCTTCGTGTCGTCCTTCAACGGTGATGATCGTGCAACGTAGGAATGATTGTAGCCATCAAAATCGTCGAAAAACCTTGAAATACACCTAAAATTGTAACATTGAAAAAATTAGACATCTATTTTTAACGAAAAATCTTTAGGCATCAAATCGTATTTTGAAGTATAGTTTGGACACTAAAAAGTGTATTAAGCCTGAAAAAAATGAAAAGAAAATCTACATCAGCAGTTCTGTTAAATTTTTAATGGTTATGTACCAAAATAAAACATAAATTAAACTTTAGGTATGATTGTTTAAAAAATAAAGTTTTGATACCAAAAAGGAATAAAGTAATACTTTAGATACTAAACATGTAGTTTACGCAATAGTGATTTCTGAATTCAAACTTCAGCTTTAAAAAAAAAGTCAAGTGATAGGCCATGTGAACACTACGTTCCACCTATCTACCTCTTTTTCTTTTCTTGTTTCTCACAGCAAGAACGCCATTATCAACCATTCCCCCCATTGGGTTTTTTGTTTCTTGTTAGAGAGTCGGCAATGAGCTCCATCATGCACAACTTTCAAAGAAGCCAAGCCTTCCCTGTCTCTCAAACCCAATCAAAAGAGCAGCCGCCATTGCCGGCGTTACGAAGGAGGCTTTCCTCTGTGTCTCTTAAGCTACACCCTCCCACCTTTTCACCATCAGCGTCGTCATGGTCGTTCCCCAGATCCAAGTCCTTTTCCATGGGAGACTATGCTGGTACCTCCATCAGGAAATGGTGGGACTGGGGATGGTCTTGGGTTCTTTCCAGGAAACCCATGTTCGCTCAAGACCTTGAAATGAACGAAGAAGAAACTAGAGTTCTGGGTTGCCACAACAAAGGCAGCTGGATGCATGTTTTCTACAAGATGAGATCTGAGATCAAGAAACTCATGGGATCTGACAAGGTTGGCCTCCCACAGACTTGCAGGTATGATTCTTTAGCCTATTCCAAGAATTTCGGTAAAGAAAAGAAAATCTATGGTTGATCTTGGAATGCTTGAGTTGGAGGTGTTCGAAGAAATGTCTAAATGGGAATTGATTATCAATTCGTTGCTTCATGATTCAGATCATCACATCAGAGAAACTGCAGAATTCTATATTCTATATTCTTTTTTGTTGCTTTATCTTGTGTATCTTGTTCTGTTCTTTCTTGGGTTTTCAGATTTTCCTTTGTTATCATAATCCAAATGATGATCGGTGAAAAAGAATTAGTTTGTATTCCTTTTATAAATGTATCATATTTTTTCATTTATATAAATTTTGGCAGCTTCAATGTTTTAATTTTTTTATAAATGTTGTATTCCTTTTATTTATTAATGCAATATAATATTGAGATATAAATTGCTCTATATACAAGATATATTTCTTGTCCCATGGAAAAATGCAATGGAAAAGTATGAATTCACATAGATTTAGTGATTTTGTGTGAGCCTACATTCGATTATTATTTAATTTTTTTTATAATATCCGACCTATTAATCCACTAATTTATAGTGTATTATATAGGTGAAGACTATTCTCCCAACCTAGTTTATTCTATTGATAAATGTCAAAATTAAAATATATAATCTTACTTAAAAAATCTAGTGTTTTATTCTATTAAACTAATTAATTGTCGATTATTTAACTTTTAATTATGAGTAGAAAATATAATATGCATATTATATAAATTATTAAAAAAGTATTTAATATATATATTTATATATAAATGATATGGCATATTTTAGAATTGTGATATTAATATTGAATATAATATTCAAAAAAGACGTCGGTGACAGAGATAATATGTGCAATTCCATTGAAGTGCCAGCATAGATGAGGTTTCCCAATATTTAAAGACTTCCCTGTTTTCACCCAACACTGATGACCTGGATTCAATTTCAGCAACCATGTGTCGTATACGTAAAAATACGAGTGTTTATTATTAAATATAGTTGAAATATTATACTGTATTTATTTTAAATTTATAAAAGAAAATGTGTTGGTGCCCAGATTTTCTCTTACAAATAGAGGCGTTTATTATCGACAGTTGATTTAAGTGATAAGTAGCTTGATATCGTTTATGTAAGTCTCGAGTTTGAATTCTTTTGTATACAGAAAATTTCTGTCAGGAGATGCACCTACTCAAGTTATGTATGAGACATTAATCGATTGGATTAATCAGTACGAAGCCTTGGGAATTGGGAGGGTGACAAAAAAAGAAGCTAAATTATGCTTTTAGTACCCATAAAAAAATATAGTGCCTATTAAGTTTTTAATGGCGATGTATTAAAATAAAATAAAAATTAAATATTAGGTATAATATGAAAAAATAAAAATTTAGGTACTAAAACGAACCAAAAAATAATAATTTAAGTACTAAACTTGTAATTTACCAATAAATATGGGTGTTTATTGTTCAATTTTAATTGAATTAATCTATCAAATCAAAATTTAGTTTGGTTAATTGGTAAGATAATTAAATGTTAGATCGATTAACAGTTAATTTTTTTAAAGTTTGATTATCAGTTAATTAATTGAAAATATTGAATATTGAATATATTATATATTTTTTTAACTTAAACCTATTAAAAATCAAGATCCAACTATTTATTAATCACACTAGACTCATTAGTTTAATTCAAATAAAAATATCGATATTAAATCCAAATTAGTCTAACTAAAAAAGTTTCAAAAAATCGATTAATCTAAAAACTGAATGAACTAACTTAACTTTATTCAGTTTGATTAATAAATTTTAAATTCTTTTGGTTAGATTAATTAGATTTTTTGACTAATTCAGTTCGATCAGTAAGAAAATTAATCATTTGAACACTCCTACTTACAAATATTGCTATATCGGGTGAATAAAATTAGATTTGATTTCTTAAAAGTTATTTTCTAATTTTAAATTATTTGAGTTTAGTTATTTAAATTGTTCGAGTTATGAAAATTTACTCAATATTTTTGTTCGAATTTCAAATTCGGTTTATTTTAGTCTTTAACTAAGTAATTGGTTGTTTTAAGATTTGGCCCATAATTTCTTTGTTTCTCAATTTTATTTTTGTTTTAAGCCGATTTTTTATTAAATTTGAATCACATACACATCAACTACAGTAAAATACTTACATAGACATAATTCTTCTTTTTGGCAATAATTTTTTTGACAAATTAATTCTTTAACTTTGCATGATTTTTCTGTTTCTTCATTCATATTTTATTTTAAGTCTATTTTGACTAAATTTTAACCATTGCTCATCTTTTATTGTAGAATACCTATATAACTCCAATTTATCACTGTGGCAACAAATTTCTTATTTTTCAATTTAGACCTTCAACTTTACATTTTATTCAATTTGACCTTGTAATTGCAACTCTTTACAATTTTTCCTCCCCATTTCCTTGACTCATTTATACTTACATCAATTGCCCTAAAAAATACATTCTTTAAAAAATAATATTATAAATATTATATAATTTTAGAAGACATTTGGTTTATTAAATAACATTAGAAATCTGACTTACACATGCTAAAAAGAATATGAAGAAATATATGTGTATATCATATATGATTAGAGATAATTTTTAAATAAGAATTAATTAGTACCGTAATTATAAATAATTGCATTTAAAATTGAATGATAAAATAATACACGTAAACTCGACTAACTCAATATTTTGCACTTGACTCCATAAAATACTCACCCTTAATTCGAATAAATGAAAAATAAAAGTATAATTTATATGACTTAATAGAAAAATCAGAAGCAATCGAACAAAAGTTATCAAAATTTAAAGAGAATTTGTGTCTTAAACCTTAATACATTAAGGCTTCAATTCTGTAGAAATAGTGCCGGTGGTTAACTTTGGATTTTTTAATTGTTTATTTTATTATACAGTAATAACTTACAGAGTAAAGTATATAAATGGTCCTCAGACTATATAAGATACTGTTTTATTAAATCTTTTAACTAATAAAAATTAATAAATGATCTCCCAACTATAGGAAATTACTTTTATGAGTCCATCAACTATTAAAAGTTATAAAATGGTCACCCGACCATTCATTATGTTCCAAAATCGTCCTTTTTTGTTAAAAATTTAACGACAATCTAAGTGACGTTAACATGCTGACTGATATATGATAAAATCTGATCTCATAATTACAAATGACTATTATATCTTAGTAAGCATGTTAACGTCCAGCTCAGACGACTATTAATTTTTTAACGAAAAAGAACGAGTTTGGAACATAATGAATAGCCAGATAACTATTTTGTAATTTTTAATAGTCGAGAGACTCAACAAAATAATTTCTTATAATTGGAGGATAATTTTATAAGTTTTAATAGTCAATAAACTCAACAAAGTAATATCTTATAGACTATAACTATTTGTGTACTTTACCCTAACTTATAAGGATACAACGAGCATTATAAATAATGTGTTGACTATAACTTATATGAACATCACATTCAGTGCTCATATCACCGACGAATTTGGCAAAATATTAATCGACGGCAGAAATCACTCAATAGCCGTCGGTGATGGATGGGTGAAAAATTTAGGTAGAAATTGTTTTAAAAATAATTAATCTATTTATTTTTAAATATAATATATCACATTTCATTAATTATGAAATTATTTTTTAATGCAGTTTGATATCAGCAACGAAGTTGGTTCAAGTAGTAAGAAATTGATATCGCTTAAGCAAGTCTCGAATTCGAGGCCTTATACATGTATGAAATTTTTGCTGGGAGACTCACTCACCAAAATCAGACTTAGAAATCATTTAGTGTTCATATTATCAACGGAGTTGGTTTAAGTGGTAAACAGTTTGATATCGTTTAAGCAGGTCTCGAGTTCGAAACCTTGTGTATATAGAAAATCTCTGCTGTGAGACTCATCCACTAAAATCTAGAGTGTGACAAGAGTGAATCTAGAATAACCGGGTCTAATCCTTCACTTTGAAGAAGAAGCGTACTCATTTTTTAGTTCGGTTATTTAGTTAGATAATTAGATGTTAGTTCGGTTATTTAATGCAACACAATTGCATGTAATATTGTTTGAAGTAGGGATGGATCAAGAGGGACGGGTGGGGTAGTCACCCCTGAAAATTTAAAATTACCTATATATTTTAAAAAATTTATACTTTTTATATTAAAAATCTATTTTCGCCCTCATTGAATTTTATAAGTTCGTCATTTCTTAACATTTTAGAAGTACGCCCCTTTAACATAAAATCATGCATCCACCTTAGGTTCTAAGTATAGGATCTTACAACAAAAGATCGAGTATATAGACACAAATGGACTGAAGGAGGCAGGTGGGGGCAGTCGCCTCTCCTGAAAATTTAAAATTACTATATATTTTAGATTTGTCTATGTATTTTCTATTAAAGATTTATTTGAGCTCTTTTTATAATTTTATAAGTTAATCACTTTCTAAAATTTTAGAAGTTTGTTCCCGACATAAAATTCTCCGTCCGGTCCCTTTATACAAATATCATCAAACAAGTATTCAACCGAAAATATACTGTTTATCTGTAATAGAATCTGGAACAGAAAATAGTATATATATATTTGATTAATATGAAGTCAGTACAAAGCAATATTTGTTCAAAGGTAACTCTAAGTCATTTTACATTTATCGCTACAAATATTCAGTTCATATACACATGCGCAAAGATGGAAATTATAGGGTACCAATTGTATCTCTCATTCTCATATTTAGACTGTTCTGCATGGTCCGCCTTCCAATTCCGGAATTGCCTTTTTGCATCATCGCAACAAATTCAACGTAATCGATTATTCCATCCTGAAATAAACAAGTTTAGGATCCTTAAACAACAAGAAAACAAAGAGCTAAGATGGCTTACATTATATTGATCAACTTCTCTTATTATATCATCAATCAAAACATCCGTGATGTAATGCTCGGCGCAGGCTTGCTGAAGTTCATTGACCGTAATATAGCAGCTGTTGTCCTTATCAAAGTACTTGAAAGCCTCGAGGAGATGTTCTTCGCGCTCTAGTTTATTAAGGTGAACTGTTGCATCCATGAATTCCTCGTAGTCAATGCTCCCATTGTTGTCAGCATCAGGCTGAGAACAAATGAAATAATAGCTCTATTGACATTGCTTGCATTCAAAGTAATATAATAAACAGTTGTTGAATGTGCATCAGAATGAACTTAACTGCATTCATATGTTCCTGAATTTCAG